CAATCTGTGTCAACTTTTTCCACAAGGAACAGTTATCGGCATTCTATGTTTTTCGTTGGCATTGGAGCCGAGCAACTATGGGGTGACCCGTTCGCCATGAAGCTAAAACTAAGATTACCAGTATTTGGCATTGGCGCCATATTTGTGATCCATCTATACACTGTTTGTCATTAACAATTATCAAATCTGCCAGCTTTACTTCTCGAAACATTTCCTTGCGCTGTTTCAACGATGGGGCTAACGCAGCAATATTATTATGAAATTAATATATTATTTTTAAAAAATTGGAAAATATTTTTTGTCGGCTTGAGCTCAACAAGTATGTGGTTATGTAATCACCATCATCGCGTAACACTACGTGCCGTTGGTCACCAGTTTCTGTTGACTGATTAGCTCTCTCCACATCTGGCGGTCAATTGCGATGGACTTCATGATTGCCTGCCTGAAGTCTGTCGAGTCAGTCAGGTTCTGTAATCAGGTCTTTCTTAGTTTGCCTCTTCTCCTCTTTACCGCTAATGAGCCCTGCAGTATTGTTTTGGAGAGGTCATTAGGTAAGTAAAGTTTTTTAAAAAAAAAGTCTCTACGCTTGTGATACATTGAGCATATGAATGCAAAACTCAGTGTTAAAAGACCAAATGGAACTTGTTGGGTGATGTGGTCAGCATCATAAATGGTCGCTTTCATTTCCCAAGACATCACCTGGTATCCACTTAAGACTGTGTCGACCCGTGAACCAAACAGTGTGGAAAATAATCCGAGTCGGTGAAGTTTTGTACCAAAGACATTCAGACCAGAAAGTAAGCGTCAGTCGCTATTTTGCTGAGGTTCTCGAGGTATATGGTGCTACAACCAAATTGTGCACATCAGTTTTCACTAAACAGAGATGTCAGCCCCTTTTACTTCCTAAGATATTTTGTAATATCTGTTTAAAACAAGATCGTCCTAGCAATCTTTGTCAACGGTGCAAATCTGTCTCGATGAGAATTCGGACACATGCACTTTGTTTTTAATCCAACCCAAACAAATGAAATCCCGGAATTACCACGGAAGTCCAATGTTCTGAGAGTGTTACGGGTTGGGGTGAGGTTACAGTTAAGGTTAGAATTAGGGCTTTTGTTATTCGATGTCTTTGACGCATTCGGGGCCGACACAGATCCTAACCCTACCTCACCCATAACACCCCCCAGAATATTATACTTTCCTCGGACTACCTACATTTCCTTTGTTTTTGTGAATTGAAAATAAAGTTCCCAAGACAAAATTATAACATAAAAATTATGCATCAGACATATCATGCTACATTCACATTTTTATAGATCAATCGGCACTCTGTGTGTGATTTGATCGTAATCACGTATGTCGCCTTTACTTCCCATGTCATTACCTGATACCCGTTATAGACTGTGTCGACCAAAACGTGTTTTTTAATCAACTGTTATTCCTCAAAACAAATTCGCACTGCTAGCATAGAGAGTATTTAATTTCACACTCCAGTGTGGCACCCTCGAATTGAAGTAATGAATGCCGAATTACCCGTTGTGCGAGAGCCAAGAGTTTCAGTAGAGTTTCACAAGTATAGTTCTCGCAAATGAACTCATCCGTGTATTTAAGTCACTGGACAATTTGCATCGGAGCCTATTTCAACACATTTTCCCAAGAGATCCCATTTTAGCAACGCTTAAATGTTGTACACAATTGTTGAAATTTTTTGGCTGCATTAAATATACCAGTGTTTTGTTTGCTTTTCTGGCAATCCGAGTAAATGTGTCCAGTAATTACTTATTTTACATTAAGCAGCAAAGGCTTGTTCCAAGAGGTTGGGCTAACTGGCGGGCTGTGACGTTGCTTCGTGTAATGAAGTGAGTTGCTGGGTTCTCTTGATACAAGTCTGAGATTAATTAATATTTTCTGAGTACACGTGTGTGCATGTCATGGGTCAGCCAGCTAGGGAATACATTTACCAGAGGACCGGTGTTAGAGTCAGCTTGGTTTGGGAAAAAGGGAGGGGGGGAGAACAAGAAGGGTTAAATTATATGAGATCTACGTTTATCACAAATGTGTGTGTAGATATAATTCATTATTCATTGAGTGTCTTGTCGAACTGATGCGATGTTTCTGGATTAAAATTAAAAACAAAAAATTAAAACCGCGGAACCTCGGTAAAATGTTTTTTTAAACGGAAATATTTGAATTTGTTTCTCTAGTTGATGCCGGTGTATTGGGAAACGAGCAAGCAAAATGATTGGCCGGTTCTGCACCACTTGGTGGTGTATTGATGTCTGAAAAACTAAATGTTGTGAGGGCCTTTTGGGAGTGGTTGAATAGTGGGAAGGCACAACTACATCACTACGATGTGATAAGAAAGCGTTGCGAGAAGTTAACAGAGGATTGGGCTGGCGCTCAACACTGAAGTAAAGGGCGAAACGGTTATACAATCAGACCGTTACTGGTACCATCGGAATTGGAACTCTTCGCATGCTGCTGATGATGGGGACGGGACGTTTTTGGAAGTATCACGAGTGCTGTGATGTCGATTTTTAATTCAACATTAAACATTGGCGCAAGCGATAAGACCTTTCCATAGCTTGCGACCTCAAACAATGTGTACCATAAGTTCCCACACATAGATATCCAGTGGTCACAATATGTTCCAGTCCCTTTCTTCGCATAGCTGGGCCATAAAATGCCAACTGTGTATATCTGTTATTTGCAACAACTATTCTCTGGCCCCTTGATTGTTTCATGACACCTGAATTACTCATTCGGGTACATGTGTGACTCGTACATATTCATCCCGTCACACTAATTAAATTGATAATACCAGGAAGGCTAACCTGGTCAATATATGCACGCAGAAGTCTGATGTATCTGCCGAAAGGTGCAAATATCGCAGCTATTATGTAAATGGGCATAACACAATAACATCTTCGGATGAACGCAGAAGAAGAAATTGATAATAAGAATGCAACTGATGTTCTTCATTCAAGTTCGTGAATTCCTTGAGACTATCCAGTGATCATATGAATCTGTTGTTCACGGATCATATGAATCTGTTCACTGATCATGTGAATCTGTTCACGGATCATGCGAATCTGTTCACGGATCATGTGAATCTGTTCACGGATCATATGAATCTGTTCACGGATCATATGAATCTGTTCACTGATCATGTGAATCTGTTCACTGATCATGCGAATCTGTTCACGGATCATATGAATCTGTTGTTCACGGATAATATGAATCTGTTCACGGATCATGTGAATCTGTTCACGGATCATGTGAATCTGTTGTTCACGGATCATATGAATCTGTTGTTCACGGATCATATGAATCTGTTCACGGATCATGTGAATCGGTTCACGGATCATATGAATCTGTTGTTCACGGATCATATGAATCTGTTGTTCACGGATCATATGAATCTGTTCACGGATCATATGAATCTGTTTACGGATCATATGAATCTGTTTACGGATCATATGAATCTGTTTACGGATCATATGAATCTGTTCACGGATCATATGAATCTGTTCACGGATCATATGAATCTGTTCACGGATCATATGAAGCAATATAAAAGCGATTGTGTCCATCCACGGAAAAGCTGCTTATGAATTACTTAATCCTGTGTACACCTTAATGATTTGACCGCTGATCATTTAGACTTTATAATTTAATCACCTGTCGTCTTCTTCTTTTTAGCACTCACCGGCTGTAAACTCAAGCGGAAAGTTGTGGTTGTTCGTCCCTCATCGACTTTAGTTGGTGTGGACACTGAACTAGAGTTTTTTGCGTGCACATCCGTATTACAGATCCTGTTTACTTGGCATTGACTACATGCATCTGGCAGCTGAACAGCGAGGCCAGGCTAAAGAGACTTATATAACAGGCCCTTTATCTACAGATACTGTTGCCTGTCCTCATTGTCCTAGATCCTTCAGGGCCTGTATTAGGCTTATAGGTCACCTCCAGACTCACAAGCAATCAACTAGTTTCAGGACGGATGAAAGAAAGAGTGGTCAACACAACAACAACAACACTTGCATCTAAAGACAAAAGTTAGTTGCATGTCTTTTACTAGACTCGCAGACCAACCCTTTTGTTTTTGGCTGTAGTTTGGTTTTGCTAGCCAACTGAAATCCACATTTATGCCGTTGTCTAAATCTACGTAAAGCGGCCTGCTATTAAATATTTTAGACTTCGAACTTCACTATGTCAGGATGATAAAACGGCTTTCCCAAACCCTAAGCCACAGACGCTGACATTCAACGACAATGTACCGGAATCAGTCCACACTGAACTTGAATATACCAACGAGTTAGCTAAATATTCTCCTGACCAGCACGAATCATCAATTCCCACTTAACGTGAAGATGCATTTGCATTTGGACATGACAAGCCCTCGCTCTTGTCAATGTATCATCAGCATTTGTGTTACATCCTCACATATGACTGGGTGGGGTCGGAAAAAGCACTGCCCAGTAGCACAGTCGGCTGATCATCACTAGCAGCCAACAACCTTCTGAATCAATTTCCCTTGCCAGTGAAGTCTCCCCCTTCATGACGTCGTCATCGGCCGTAATCATGTTGCACTGACACTTCTGACTGCAGATCTAATGCACGACATAACAACAACTCTACGAGAAGAAGTGTTGTCAAACACCAGCCAGTAGCAGTCGTCTGAACCAGTCGAACTTGCACCTTGTCTTGAAAATGCCTCCTCTATGTTAACATCGGTAATCGTGTTGCATCCCTACTTCTGACTGTAAGTCAAAGAAAACATAAGCCAGATCAGAAAAACAGTACGCGAAATAGCAGCGTCGGTTCACGATCACCAGCCATTATCAATCTACAGTTAGCGTGAATATTCTCTTTGACTACGAACACCTCTCTTTAATCGACTACGAACATCTCTCTTTAATATTATCGGCAGCAATTGTGTTGCCTTCACACTTCTGGCTGCAGGTCAAAGAAGACACAAGACAGCTCAGAAAAACACTATGCGAAACAGCAGCGTCGCATCATCAACCTCACCCAGCATCAACGTACTTATCTTTGGACGTCAATCGAGAAGCGTAGAATTGATCACCCTGATCTTATCAGTTCTAACGATATCCGTGGGACTCGTGGGCAACCTTCTGCTCACTCTGACTATCGCTACCAGCGCATCTCTGCGAACTCCCATGAACACGTTCGTTCTGAGCATCGGGTTGGTGGATTTGTTGACTTCAGCGTTTCTCTTGCCTTTAAGAGCGATTGTGGAATGGCAGCTGCTGTCCCACAAAGGTGAGAAATGTAACTGTTTTTGTGGGTATATTGCCAGATGTGGGTTCCATGGTCCCGTTTTTAGGGGGGGGGGGGGGGAAGGGGGACAAACTCACTTTCCTATGCTGTAAGTTGTCTAATGAGGGATCTGCCGAAATATGATGTTTTAAAGGGGGGGGGGGAAGGGGGGACAAACTCACTTTCCTATGCTGTAAGTTGTCTAATGAGGGATCTGCCGAAATATGATGTTTTAGGCCGAAATGCACAGCATAGAAGTAAACAACATCAAAAAGTTTTTTTTATAAGATATAATGAATTTAAGCTGTGCCCGCCCGTTACATAATGATAAAGCCCAGTTACATAATGATAATGTCCGTTTTTAATTAGGTTGCCCTATCTAGAAGGCGACTGGACACTTTTTCTTCCGCGTTTGTCTTTAAAGGGCGATTGTCAAGGTGTTTTGGTTTACCTATAGGCTGCGATGTATTCGCCTTACGGCCCGACACATCCGAATTCAGGAAAACCAATAATCAGTCGCCTTATTACTACGTGCGGGTTAAAGGTTAGTGTCTCTTTTCTTTTCCCCACAATATGTATCCCTAGAACCCACACGGAGACTGCAAACGGTGGTCGAAGGGTGAAATGATTTAGTGACTTTTTAAAAGTTTGATTGTATTACTTACAGAGGACTTTGCACATGGCAATCAGAGAGTCTAAGAACTGAGTCACTAGTCGTTTTTTTTTATCATTTCGCGTTCAGACAACTTTGCACATTGTATTCAGCTAATGTCATAAAATGCTAATTTTATTCAAATTGTTTGTTACTTGTGTCAGTCTTGGACACTAACCAAAGAATACAGGAAAAAATCAAGCCCCTCCTAGGAATGAGATATTTGATAAAGACTACGAATAAAATAAAAAAGATCCTGTAAGAAATTGAAGAGATTGCAAGAGATACTAGAACAAAACTCATCCTTACGTACACTGAGAGCAACACACTTTGAGCTGCTCTATTCACTATGTGAATCAAACGATGCAGGCAGCGAGAAGTTCAGCATGAAAACGGAAACAACGAGATGCAGAGGCAAACCTCAGAGAACATGGATAGAAGGAGACGTTGAGAACCTAGGACTCCACAACAACACAAGATCTCAAGCAACCTAGCGTGTCCTAGATCGGCTAACAAACATCTGATAAACTGAGACGCCGAGTGGCGGAGAGCAGATACTGGACAAAAGAAAGAACGACGAAATAATTGTGTGACTGTTTAAATGATTGTTTGTCTTTCTTATTCTTCTTGTTCGTGAGCATTCTGATCCCCAAGGATCACTGCTGCAAATTTCACCCGCCTAAATGTATCTCTATGATTGGCCTTCTGACTCCAAGTGTTTGTAAGTCTAACTAGACATTTCCTCTCTACCGTCTTCTTCTTCGCCTGGTGATGTATTCAGATTCAATTATTTTGTGTACGCAGTTTTTATCTCTATGTTATTTCTTATTCTATCTGTATCTCTCAACCTTGTTAGTCCACCCTGGCTTCTGCCAGGGGCCGCAATATAGCCCGGTTATAAATGTGGCCTAATGGCTGAACGCGGTTTGCGAGACCTTTCCAAGGGTGGTCCTCATCCTCATGGTGGCACTTTGTGTCACCGTGTGTTTATCGCTTGCGTGATGTTTTGATGGGGTAAAATTTACTACTACTGCTACCATATTAGTCTAATAACCCTCATGGTGCCAGTAGTTGGTGCTAATTCAAACAGACTAGGATGTTTATTGCGTGTTCTCCCTCTCCGTTCTCGCTTGTTTGCATTTTAAAGAGTTTGAAAATTCACTGCAAGACTCCGTTTTTAAAGTTTGTAATAAGGTTTCATCTCTTGTTTGCCTTATACTTTACAGAAATAGACCCTACGGTTTACGGCATAGAGCTGTTTGTTCGCACCTTTACGGATACTACTCGACTTTTCCTGATGATGTCGCTGAGTGTGGAGCGATACCAGTCTATAGCCAACCCACTATCGGTCTCCAAGGACCAGGCCAAGAGACGGGCGATGGTCATGAGTGGAATGACATGGACCGTATCGATTGTTCTCAGTGGAATATCCATCAGGTATATATCGGATACATGATTCTTTCTGTCCGTCTGTTTGCCTGTCTGTCAGTCTTTCAATCTACCTGTCAATCCTCTCACTGTCCACCGATCTTTCAGTCCCTCCTTCCATCAGTCCATTCATCCGTCGGACACTTAAAGCAGATACACTTTAGTGTAGAAACAGTTAAACAAATTAAAGTAGCAGCAATTGAGGACAAAACAACTCGTTTAGTTCCATGTGGACATGGGTTAAATTTGTTACATCCTAAACATTTGTTACTTATATTAAAATATGTCTAGTCTGAACAGGTTCAAATAACAGTATTATACGATACAATACTGGCATACAATAGGCTAATGAACCAGTTAAGTAAAGAACATGGATGTATGAAAAGCTGATCATGTGAAGAGTAACCAAAAAGCCCACAGTAAGTTACTGTACCGATAGAGTTACTGATTACTAATTTAAGAATTGACATCAGATCAACGGAAATACCCACAGGTACTCCATCTCCCGCAGAAAATGTCTTAAAATGTAGATGATGGCTGTTCTAGCAGAATAATGGCTGTACATATATGGTACTCTTCCTCTTAGACGTTCTCTCTCTCTCTCTCTCTCTCTCTCTCTCTCTCTCTCTCTCTGTCTGTCTGTGTATGTGTGTCTATGTGTGTGTCTGTATGCCGGATCCACACTTAATTCCCAGTTAACACATCCTTACACGTACAAGTGTTAGTTTTTCTAAAACCGTATCTTTCATCAGTTTTTGTTAATAAATAGACTGCCGTCCAATACAAATGTTCCTGCACCTATCGCATGGGTAGCCAAAACAAAGCAACAACAAACAAAGTAACAACAAAAAATCTTCTCGTTCATTCCCTTGCACTGCTGCATATGCCAGACAGTATATCTATGTGCGTCCTTGTAATTTAGACGTGGCAATGACATAGAAGAAGAGTGGCAAATTTTTAAAACCTGCATCCTGAATGTAATGACAGAAAAGTGCGGACTCCGAAAGCCAGGAAGACACAGGAAACAAACAGCATGGTGGAATAAAGAAGTTAAAATTTATATCAAAGAAAAGAAGAAATATTTTCATCAGTGGCAAAAGTCCAAATTAGATTAGGACTACATAAAATATAGAAAAACAATAGCAAAGAGCAAGAGGAAAGTAAATTCGGCGAAATCAGAATCATAGGCAAACTACGGAGAACAATTAGCAAGGCTATGCACTGATTCACCAGGTCAGTTCTACCGAAGCATCAAGGCTATGGGACTAAGAAAAGAGAAATTTAACCCATCAAAGATCTTAAACAGCAAGGCTAAAAAAAACCACTCACCAAATCCCAAGATGTTAAAAGAAGATGGCAAGAATATTTTTCTGAATTACTGAATAGTGGACCACAAGAACCAGTGTCTAATAAAATAAAATTTGGACAAGAACAAGAACCTAATATATTAGAATCTGAAGTTGAAAAGATCCTAGAGCAAAGCAAAAGAAACAAAGCGGCCGGAACAGATGGTATTACAACAGACATAATACTTGCATGTGAGGCAACAGCAGTAAAATGGCTGACAAGAATATTCAATATGGCCTGGGAGGAAATGAAAGTTCCTGTTGACTGGCAAAGAGCAATTATAGTTCCCATATGGAAGAAGAAAGGTGATAAACGAGATTGTGAAACATACAGAGGTACCTCTTTACAAAGCCATGTAGGAAAGATGTTTGCAAAAATATTAGAACGAAGAGCGAGGGTGATATTAGAATCTCAATTAAGTAACAATCAGTTTGGATTTAGAAAAGGAAAGTGCTGCACTGATGCAATATTTACTCTTCGGCAAATTTGTGAACAGACAATCGAATATAATAAACACCAGAATCTTATTTTCATTGATCAAGAGAAGGCTTTTGACAGGGTTAACAGAAATAAACTATGGAACTTTCTTGAAGAATATGGTGTACCGGGTCAATTATTGGGAAACATAATGGCTCTCTATCAAAATAGCCAGAGCGCTGTAAGAACAACGGAAGGTATGACAGACTGGTTCCCCATTACACCAGGAGTACGACAAGGATGTGTCCTATCACCCCTACTCTTCATCACATATATGGATAAAATTGCACAGGAGTCAAACCAAAACACAGATAATATAAATGAACTACTCTTTGCAGATGACCAATGTTTGTTTCAAGAAGAAGAACAAAAACTACAACAACATGTTGATTCATCGCTCACTAACTGTACAAAATTTGACATGAAAATAAACACCTCAAAAACTGAAGTAATGACCATAGGAAAGAAACACAGTAATGTAAACATAAAAATAAATGACATACAATTAGAACAAGTTCAAGAATTCAAGTACTTAGGATGCATATTTACAGAAGATGGAAGGCTCGATAAAGAGATACAGGCTAGAGTTCAAAAAGCCAATGCAGTTAACTACCAACTGGCCCCACTTCTTCGTCATCCAAAGATCTCGTTACCAGCCAAACAACGGATGATCAACAGCATTTTCTTCCCTACGTTATGTTATCAGTGCCAAACGTGGACAATGAACAAATCACATATGCAAAAAATAACTACGTGTGAAATGCGATGTCTCCGAAGAGTCACCAACAATACACGAAGAGACAGAGTCATAAACGTCAGCATTAGAGACAAAGAGCATGCATGAAACATAATAAAAGACAGGGAATGAAGTGGTTTGGTCATTTAGTAAGAATGCAACCGGATCAGATTGCCTATAAGGCCTTTTACAGTAGAACATCGGGAAGAAAGGCCAGAGGAAGACCCAGGAAAAAATGGATAGATGGAGTAGCTGAATACGGCCAGAAGATCCAGAAAACTGTCACTCAAATCACGCGAGAGGCACAAAACAAATATTTTAAACCACGACACTGGGCTGCAACCCGGTAAAAGTGAAGAAGACAATAGTTAGATAGAATGTGTAAAATCCACTCATGGCGCAGGTGTCCATTTTGTACGTTTCGCAGTACCGACTGAGAATCAGACACTTGATTTCCTTGCTAACTTTAGTTTCGGTCATCCACTTCAGAGCAGCTGTGATTGCCTCCATCCTCATGTTTGAAGCTGTAGTTAAAAAACACACCATAACACGATCAAATCCGAACCAGCTGAACGTTTTTTTTTTTTTTATTTTACTCTCCAAAAATGACCTTGGGTTTGAGGTCGACCTAGTCTTAAATATGTACTAGGTAAAGTTATGGAAAGCGAAGGCGGTCGGCCTGATGCTGACCACATCACCAACCGAGTGCATATTGGTCTTTAAAATATATTCCAGCACTATATTCAGATTACGCATGATGACGTAGAAAATGGTCCTTTGGCTGAGAAACCCCAGCCAGATATTTTTTTTTTTACTTCAATCAACAGGACCATCAGTGTACACTATTGTCTTTTCCATCAGTTTGTGCTTCTAATTCTACCATACTATTGCACCATTCTCTACACTCGCTTCCTAATGTAATTCTGCTCTGGTGGAAACTGCTATTTTTTTTTTTTTTTAAAAACTATTATTATTATTAACATGCGGCGTCCGTGGCTAAGGCGTTGCGAGTCCGACTCGTAATCCAACGTACCGCGATCGAAACCCACTGCGGACTGCGTGGATTTGTATCGTGGTATGGGACGTCGCAGGTCGATCCAGCCTCAAATGGGTACCAGGATGGGCTGTCCTGGGAAAGTAAATACGGCCGGTGTAATTCTGACCACATTACCCACCTAGAGCCGATTGGTCTGTAAAAATATGGGTGCTTTTCCCATATGCCCAATGCGCCTAAGGGCGTGCAAAGGGATCTTTACTTTACTTTATTATTATTAACGTATTCCGTCTCCTGTGTTTGCTCCACTGAGTGTGTCTGCCCTATATATCTCTTCAGCTAATGACATTCCTGGCTTTCCTATCTTCAAACGATTTCCTCTTTAATCATTTAGGCTGTGTTAAAGTAGTACAATAATCAATCTGTTAATCAATCAATCAGGTGCCATCTCCACAATAAGTGTTAGTTACAACGGATATCCAACATACTCTGTCGTTCGCCCTAGATGAAATACTCTGTGAGACTGCGGTTGCTCTATCTCTTGATGTTATTGTCCCAAATATCACTCCATGCATGTATATTTGCTTATTATGTCCACCAGCTTGTATAGTTGTTTGCCTTTTTCTCGCTTGCATCCCCTCACTTTCCCCCGTTTTGGTTTTTACAAGACAGTAATAACATTTTGTTGACAACAACGGTCCTGAAATCACATGGTTTCATTGTACAAGATTTTTCTTAACGCGGTCGGGTCTTGCTAGCAACACGCGCTATCGCCATGGGCTATGAGTTCCATGTCTCCTCATAGCACAATACTGTCGTCTGGAAAGACGGAAAGGTGTCAGTCAAAAAGGAAATACATATCTGGGACTGGAGAAATAGTTCATGCAAATGAGTATAGGAAAAATAGAAACAGACATAAATATGCTTTTACGTCATACCACTTAGTTCCGATCAATTTTTTTTAATGTGTTTAAAAAGTCCATCATATTTAAAATACCTTAGTAGATAGACAGGTGCTTTGCGGAAAATAAAATCGTCACGTTCAACCAACAATCCCGAAGGGGAAGCTTTCGGTTATAACTGTGACTGGGTTATGTGCGCTATTTTAAAAAAAATGTCACGGAATACGGCATTGCACGCCACTAAGAGCCTCGAAAAGGACGCTTATGTATGTATGCTGTGTAAGTATGTGGGTGTATATGTGTGTATTTGAATATGTATGTATGTGTGTAAAGATGTGAGTGTATGTATAAATGTGTGTATGTATGCCTGTATGTGTATGTATGCGTGTATGTGGGTGTATGTATTCATGTAAGTGTAAATGTGTGGTTGTGGGCATATGTTGGTGTCTGTACATGTGATTGTTTATGTGTATGCATTTATGTATGTATAGGTGTGTATATATGGAATGTGTGTGTGTGCATGTATATCCATAAATGCATGTGTGTGTGTTTT